GTTTATGATGACATGCTCCAAATACATAGCGTCCCAGCATGGGTGTGTTTATGATGCAAAATTAAATTAACAGGGATGGTTGGTTGGCAGAGAGTCAAGCATGCAATTTATTACTCTCCCTGAAATTAACCGACTGTATTTGTAAACACATTTAAAAATACCATCTTCTACCAAGTTTTCAACAATCTATTGGCTCATATAAATAGGAATAACATGCAATGTCAGTATCATAATATGAAATCCATTATTTGTAGTTCTACAAGATTCATGTTTCATTATGACACTTATTTTACTATCATTCAGTCCATAAGAACTATTACATAACATACATTTTTTTCAATCTGGGTTATTCTTACCATACCAACACACATCCATCCCATCCCATATCCCTCTTATAATGAAAGCGAAGGGTGATCTAAATTTATTGCCCGACCATGCTGGCAGGTTCTAATGAAATTTGAAATTAGTAAAAGCTGACTGGGCTGAATTGCATGGAGAATGCTGCTGACTGATCCCAGGTAATGTGTATTTGCAAGTACCTACAACGAATGATATGGAAGAATACTGGAATTAAACAAGGGATCCGGATACTTTGTCTCAGATTCTGAAACAAAATCCTGACTTTAGCTCATGCTGCAATGATAATTATAAACCTTTAGGAAGTCAGGAACCCCATGACTTTTACAAGCTGATCGCTTGTCTGATTATCAAGATATTTGTGATTGGAAATCGAAACTGAATTTTGCGTTTTCCTTAACGATTTTCATGACACTACATTCTATTGGGGAAAAAGAGTATGGTAAAACCGGTCACTCAAAGAATTTTACTTTTTGAGGCACTTCTTGATCATTTTGAAGCACAATTTTTTAGGGTTTCGATATTACACCATATCACAGAAACTGATAACACGTAGGGAAATGCATCTCACATTTAACATTGTTAAACGATGCCTTTAAGATAGGAACGATACATTTTGAAACAGCCTTCCTGTGTTTCTGATAATTCCTCCTCACATCAAGCACCTCACACTACAATCATGAAAGGCATGAGATCTCCTTGCTATTTACAAGTGGATCACGGCAAATAGGCTTTCCAAATTATGTGGTGTCGGTGAACCTGACGTTGCAATTGACCTGACTCTGCACACTTCACTCTGGGGCGAGCAGAGGCTCAAATTGGGTTCGAATGTTGGGTAAATTGAGCTCCTGTAGAGGGCCACGTACTATCAGCATGCTAGCTCTGTAATTATGGCACCGTTCTCCCCTCGAGCTGCAAAATGTCACCATATGCATTGTTAGATACTGCAGCAACTTGCTAGTAAATAAGATTTTTAATCAAAAAATGTTTTCTATTTTTTTAAATTCTTTTCAATCACAAATCATCTTAAAGGTCAAGTTAATAATAAGCTACTCTGAATTAAATTTATTTCCTAACAAAACACTTTTATCAATCATATCGTAACTCCTTTCAGCCTACTTTCGAACAATAACCGAGTCCTACATCAATTACTTAAATGTATGGCGTCATAAATTAGATTACTGTTAGGACATTTTGTTTTTATAGAGATGCAAAACAAAGCAATGAAATTATTTCTCCTGATTTGTCTCCTCTTTTATTCATCCTAATAAAATACAATTACCTGTTAGGAATCGGACCTACTCTATTATCACAACAACTAGACCAATAAATACACAACGGACACTCACAAACGAAAAGCAAAAATCAATTCAAATTATTCAATTAATTTATTCGTCCATCGGGGACCCTTCCTGCCCTGCAAGGCTGCATTAAAAGACGTCGGAAACCTCAGACCATGCGACGCAGCGACAATCGATTGATCTGCTACGGTCTCTGAGTATGGGAAGATCATAAGACAGGGATTGCACCAAGAGAGAGAGAGAGAGAGAGAGATGTACGTGGCATCTCCTAACCCCATGGTAGAAAATCAATTGAATTCTGAGGCACATCCACATGTGATATGCCAGAAGACAGATCATGTTCATCCACTTCTTGTAAATAATATTCTTATTCACTGTATTTTGAGTTACCGTGCTATAAGACCTTTCAAACAAAAAATCTAACCCTGATGACATACATGACATACATCTTAGGTTTGAACAGGTCTATTTTCATCAACAGAAGTACATTCTGGACATTTGCTCAATTGAAGAAGAAGAAAAAATGTCATGAAAGAAAAATAAAACCAACCCCAAAGACACATTGGAGAAAAGAGATTTGCCATGGCAGTACCACTTAATATATGCAAATTATATACATGTATACATGTATGTAAATGAGAATTTTACCAAGTTTAAGAAGTGAGAAATTATGTCATATCCTTCTGGTCAATAAATAAATCATGCCCCCAAAACTAAAGTAAGCCATTAAGTATTTTGTGTGATAAATCTTGTTCATCATATAATTCAACTTCAACAAATTTGAGATTTATGCCGAACAATCTTCTATAAAGAAGATAAAACTTTGCTTATAGTGCTGATACACTTTACTTTGATTGTCATGTAAAATTTACTCTAATGTATATATGGTAGTGTAATGAAAAGTGAGTTCATATCCTTGATAGATCCTCTGCCTTTACACATCTTCAAGAATCAAGTCATGTAACAAAATCCTTCTAAATGTATCTTTAACAAATAGGAAAGGTCGTTTATTTGCAAAATGGCTTGTTTGCTTCTAGCCTTTGGTAGATGGGGTTTGACTATTTATATCCCAAACTCTTTCCTAAAAGCACCGGTAATGCGTTTTCGGTGAGTTAATGCGTGTTCAGTGAGGTAACATGTTTTTAGTGAGGAAATTTGGTTTAAGTGATCGAGGCAGCGTCTGGACTGAACTATGGGAAATGAATGAGCGCCTTGATTAATGACAACAGTTCGCTTTGGCCCATTCTCAGTATAACTAGAGGGCGCATTAGCCTGGAACACTGGTGAAAGTAAATGGGGGTGAAAGTAAATGGGGGCGACATTCCAAATTACATGTACTCGGATGCCATCGCAAATGCAATCTTTTGTTGCATCACCAATTCCTGACCCACTCTAGTTCTACCAACAGGTATTCAGGTGTAAGAGGCCGAAACAAGGTTGTGGAATAAAATGGATCAGTGATTTTCCAAAGATTACATGTCCTTCCAATATAGATTGTCTGAAAGAAGGTCCTTAAAATACAACCACACCAATGGGTTGTCATTCACTGTGTATGAAACGAACACAGTAGATCACCTGTATATATATATATATATATATATTGTGTTGGGTAACACTACCATTGGGGATCCTGATTCGATAGGTCACTTCCAAATTCTAGCAAGGGAATCTTCAATTATCAAACAAATTCCAATCAAGTTATCCAGCCATTTAATTGATTGAATCTATTGGAAGAATTTTAATGGTCACAGTTGTCCATTCATCCAAGTTTTAAAAAAAATTGACATTCACAAAAGAAACATATCCACCTGCAGTTCTTATAATGCATGCACTCACGCTCACCATCTCGGGGGAAGTAAACCTCAAACAGTTATAAATGAAATTACTCATATTTCATTTCATAAATTAATATTAAAATCATTTGATTCTGACCGATTTGCGGTTCTGATCAGTACTGCAATTTCCTCATAATACATGTATTTTAAATGTTTTACTATCCAACACTAATGACACGCTCGACATTCAAGTACACTATATTTCTTTCTTATTATCTCTTTCTGCTTCTTCTATATCACTGTCTGATTGATTCATCGCTGTGGATCATTGACTTTCATCATCTACGGACTAACAATTACACACTACATGTAAGTAATCATTGTATTAACCCCATCCCCATCTTCATCGTAATGGCACAGTAAAAAAGAAGAAGAAATATGTGTATCGCCGACCGTCTAAATAGAACATTCCCCCGGAGCAAAAATGCATCATCAGCTAGGGGCCCTGTGATCATTAAGGGGGTGTATGGGCTGGTACTTCATTAGTGCAATGAGTGAAGAAAGTTAACCCAAGTCAGACATAGTGAAGCAAAACTGCCTGAAAAACAGCCACTGCAAATTTGTAAGTGTGAATGAATGGCAAAAGCAATATATCAATATGAGGTAGAAAATGCATCTTTTTGAGGCCAGACGGGTGTTATCTCTGTGCTTTTTTTAAAATATGAATTGATGCCCCTCTGGCTGAACAGAGAAGACATGTACAAGTAGAATATAGAACAATGTTCTCTAGATGCAGTGCAGAAATATGACAGGCAATACATGTATGAAGGCTTCTTTCATTTCATTTTGTTTACAATGGTCTTTTTTTTTAAAGCAAGTAATGTTTTTGTTTGAAAGGAAACTTTATCTGTTCAAGCATGCATCAAACTGGGGAAGAAGAACACTGCAAACGAGTGTATTTCACCATTTCTCAGAGATTTGGAATTTCGATTTACCTGCTTCTCGCTTTCTCTTTCTGATTTTTAGTTCTAAAAATAGCTTATTATCTGTAAAAGGATATGAAAGGGATCATTTTGAACTTCACAAGAAACATACTTTACATTGGGTAAAATTAAATATGTTATATAGCTATAGATATAAATATTAACAACATACGTTATAGAGTGAATATATATATTATGCATATTGATCTATTTCTCATATTTTGAAGGAAAAGTTAGACGACAATTGATACGTAACAATAGTAAGAAGGAAAAACAATCTTGGAAAGAAGACAGATTAGTATTTTAGAATATCTTAGTTGGTGTAAATATCAATTAATTATTGTATCAGCATAACAATTTGACACAAATATATTTTAGTAGGATTTATATCATTTTCAAATTAAGATTAAGATGAGATTTGATCTAAAAGAACCAACGCAAAAAAGAAAATATTATACCTATTTCTATTTTCTATATCTGAAAATACTGTAACAGCCATTGTATTCACTAGTAATTCTGTAAATAAAGTTCAGAAAGTGTTAAAGCATCAACTTGACTTTGAGGGTGCTTTACATGAAACATACCATTAGAAGCAGGTGGCTCGTTCTTCCGGAGGTTCCGCCTTCGTTTTGTGCCTCTTCTAGTGGGCACGGTCATACATCGGGGTGTGTGGAGGAGGGGTAACTCTGGTTCAGGATTGTTGTTCACTTTGTTGCTATTGAGCTCGCTATCAAAGTGCGTCAGAACCTAAATTGGATGAGGAAAAACACAAAATTGAGCAATTGATTCACTTCTAACTTTGATTTAAAAAACTTACTTGTACTTTTAAGAAGTTACTTGTGTTTAACCTCATTAAGTATCTGACTCAAATGTAATATTTTGAAGCCATTTGAAAAGAAATAAAATTGTGAATATAAAGCAAAAGCTTACCAAAGAGACCCATGAATTTTATTTGTTTATGCTCCAAATATCCCTATTTTCTTTTGAAACAATCAAATTTTAAGACATGAAAGTTTTAATATTTAATAAAGTTATGTGTGTGGGAGTATGATTATCTTTTCTACCGTCTTGGAGCCTGACATTCAACATAATTGTTAATAAAAGCATCACCCTATTAAAGTAAACAACAAATACAAAAGCCAATCTCTAAACCCGAAATAATCTAATTCACTTTTGATCATAAACAAATGAAAATATTTGCTCTCTGGTTAATAAAGTACCATTAATTTGTATGGAAATAAATTCAATTCTGTCACCAAAGATAAACATCATGATTAAAATTTAGAGAAACACTGGCAGGAATGAAAATAGTCGCGATTTTATTTGGCATGACTTGTTTTTAAAACCCTCCAGCCACAAAACAAAAATAAATATGGAAGTGTATGCCAGGAACTGTTTCAGGGGCAGAGTTGTACATGGACGTGCAAGTATTAAGCTTGATTGGTAAATGAAAACACGCAGAGTCTGCTAAACAAAAGGTCAATTTCGTGTTCTTGAGACCAGCAGGGTCTGATAGTCTTCATACTCCAGGATCTGATTTTTGTGTGTCAAGAAGTAGAAGAATGTGCAACAGCAAATCAGTTGCGATTTATATAAACTCTTTGTAGACATGGCCCGGCCTTCGTATTTCTCAAAATATGTTGCTGCCTTAGGGTGCATTTTTTCGTTTGTTGCAATAACCTATGACAAATTCATAGATAATTTATGAAGCCTAACTTAAAAAGTTCACGACAGCTGATTCTAGCAATATAATATATATATATATTTCTTTTCATTAGATGTTCCTGTATTTATTGAAAAATTAAATAACAATGAGGGTATATAAAATAAATGATTTACATCATGTGACCATTGAAATACACACAACAAATGCACACATATAATTGAAAACTTGAAAGTATGGAGGTAAGCCAAAGAATCAAGATAAATGCAGAGGCCAACTATCATAAGCATGAATGCTTGAGTCAATAGCAGCCTGGAGGGTTTCTTTTGCCAATGTTTGGTTTTGATGAATATGACAAATGATAACAATGTTTTTTTCAATGTATTTCAATCTCAATAATTAAACAACCTCTTGCTATTGCACCAACAAATCACATGATACATTAAGCTCTTCACGAAACAGGTAGAGCTAATTAATAGGGTACAATTGAGATTAATGACAGGTACAAGTATTAATGATCGCAGAGAGTCCGATCACTGAGAGGAGGATTGATGCTTCTTATTACTTAGAATAATCTAGCCATGATTCCCCCACAATGACTGGCAGATCGTTACTCTGATTTGCTCTGGAAGAGTTAGCAATCATTGATTACACAGATGTAGTTTGACACGGTAAAGGACAATTCGTGCAGATGCTAAATGATGGTTTTAGTAGAGACGGACATACAAAGGTGGGGATATGAGAAAGGGGGATGGAGAGAGAGAGAGATAGAGAGAGAGAGAGAGAGAGAGGGAGGAGGGGGGGGGCATAAAGGGAGAGAGCCAGTAAGATGAGTAAAACAAAAGAGAGGGAGTCAGTGAAAGACTGACACACACAGATAAAAAACACATACAAAGGGAGAGAGAGAGAGAGAGAGAGAGGGAGAGAGAGAGAGAGATATCATAAAAAAGCAAAACAGTCTAGAAATTATGTTTACTCATTAACCAAACAGATGTGGAAAAGGAATATCAAATGTAAAATTAAAGAAAAATAAATAAATGATTACAGATTGAGAGTGAGAGTGATCAAGAGAGAAATCAAGAGAAAGAGAAAGAGAGAGAAACATTGCAGAATGTGAGACCCAAATAACAAGAGACAGCCACCTAATAAAGAAAGGACCTGACTCAACATCGGAAGTGAATCAATCGTGACGTGAATACCAGGTAATATCTAATAAATGAAAAAATACTAAATCACAGAAAGTGGATACTTTCTGCATCGGGGAGCTTCCAACTCCTCCACATCATGCGAAGTGACGGGGCAAAACTTCTTCGAAAATACGGAGTAAGCGGCCCGCGACAGAGCCATATATCGTCATGACATGGGATGTTTATCAAGAAATGCGTAAATAAAGAAGCTGCCAGTGTATGTGCCGAGTAGGGGTAAACACGTGTGGGAGGATGGATAGAGAAGAGAGTGTCTGTATAACATTTCAAGAAGGAATCAACTCGATTGATCAAATGTAAGAAAGGAAGTTGCCATCTATCACGATCATGAATGAATGACTAACAAAGGAAGAGATTACATGTCTCGTATGAAATTCACAGTCCTAGGATGCACTTGAAGGAAGAATGTTTAAGTAATTTGATCCTCATTAATGATTTTCACTGGTAATATTTTTACAGCAAATGAATTGTTATAGTGTTATGTAAGAACATGAGGGTGATGAAAGTCATTGATTTAATTTCAGTTTCGTACTAATGACAACTGAAATGAAATTGAGAGTTGAAGGAAAGTATACAAAGAATTTGTCTATTAAATGTAAGGATCAGAATAGATATCTTGTAGTCATGGGTGTCGATACTTACGTAATACCTATTCATCAGGGGGGATGAATGAATAGATCATCCCCCCCTGATGAATAGGTATCAGTTACGGATCGACACACATGCTTGTAGTATTAGTACATTTAAAATAATTGGAATCACATATCTTTACAACAAATATTTCTTCTGAAAATTCCATGTTGACCAAAGGGAATGACATGAGCATTTTGATAAAATAATATTTTTTATATTATTGTTCAAGTGCTGCAGAAGAAAAGAAAGGGGTGGGGAGGGGACGACCGAGAGATAGGAAAGAAAGAAAATTTGCAATATTGAAAGCAAGCAAATGAACGGATTTGACATAAAAGGATAGGTTTTTAAGATTACCAATGTAATGCTTCCCAAGAGTAACATTTCTATTAAAGGTATGTAAGCAAAAAGAGAGTTATATGCCCAATTTCATATTGAATACTGTGCATTGGAAAGGACAAGGACATCCGTTTCAGAATTATTATTCAAATATTGATCCAGTACCTACTACTGTGAAGCCTAGAGGCAAGGATGCATTAAATATATCCCTCTGGAATTGTCTAAAACCTAAATGGTCTTGATTTTACTCCTTACTGCGCATATTACTAGCTGTTATATATATTTGTTATGTCTGTAATTCCCAACAAATATACGCTGGCAAAAGATACACATTTCAGATCCATGTGCATCTTTATGAATATGATATTAAAGGAAGTGCGAAATTATAAAGGAAGATGGAAGTAAATTACTTCTAAATAAGATCATGTGATACCCTCTAGGGAATGTTCCACTTCACTACCCTGTGACTAAAAGCATAAACTTCTACACATGTCCAATTCACGCTGATTAATTACAGTTCTTCTCTTACACTGTTTTGGTAATGGTACCATCCACTAATCATGATGTACAGTATCTTACTACTGATTGGGATACCCTGTTGAAATAAAACAGAATAAATAAATGTACACTGTATCACAGAGGGCCACACTCTAGTAAGGCAAACCCATTCAAACTTTAAATATTTGTTAGGATTTCCTTTCAAATTGGAGAGATCTGTAGCTATCTTTGGTCATTCTACTGACCAAGATACATTTATATTCCCTTTAACCTCAAATAGGCTGGATAGTAAATACATGCACATGTAGTAAATATCAAAAAGCTTTTAAATGCAAATAACCAAAATACCATCCCTGCTGACCATATTCCATTTAAATTCAAATGGGGCTTGACAATACACATGCAGGGAATCTGCGGAAGGCTTTAGATTCAAATGACAAGAATAACATCGCTGACCAAATTCCCTTGAAGTTCAAATTGGGCTTGATAACACACACATGCAGGGAATCTCCAGAAGCCTTAAGATGCAAATGACCAGAACAACATCGCTGAAAGATAGCATGTCATCGTTAGATCTAGGCGGAATCAAGGGATGCCATTTCCCAAGACCTATGTCACGACAGATGCATCGATGGATCTTGTCTATTTCCTCTGCAAATGAGAATTGGATCCCTATGGATAGGCATTATTTATAGAACATTGGAAACATGTATCCCCCAAGGACATTAGATGCTATTGCTAGAAAGAGGGCATTTAACCGGGCACTTCTCATATTAATCAAAAGCAATATTTGCTTCTGTGAAGTTCCGTGGACTCAGACCTCATGTTGGGATGAATATTCAGTAAGTTATTAATAGCAGCTCTATGGCTTATCAGCAGTAGATGTTGACACATCCCCCTACATGTAGACCCCTTTCAGACACAAAGCAGTAAAATATCTTTAAAGCCCACTTAAGCAAAATTTCACAAAGCTGTTCGTAAAGTATCGCATGACTTTACGAATGACTTAAATATGAAAAGCCAAATGGGATGCTCAATAATTATTAACTGCATCAACTAAAGTTGAACTGTGCAGATGTAGATTAAAATTCTATAACAAACGTTTTTAATGCAAAGTATATTTTTTGCCATAATTTAATTGAGGTTAATGGAAATATAGTCACAATTTGTTAAAACATCAGGAAAAACTTTGGGCATCCTATCTGGCACTTCAAATACAAGTCGTTCGTAAAGTCATGCATAATTTTACGAACAGCTTTATGAAACACCCCCTGGACAGAAAAAAAATTGTTTTTCCTTTTTAAAACAAATTACATACAGTAGTAACCTCTATTCCAAACTTTGTGCTATTTTAAGACTTATCAACACTTATCTGTGAAATGGAAGTTAGCCTAATTCATTGATAATTTCAATGGCTAATGTGCCTTCACACAGTCAGCTAACAATGTCACAATAGCGTTATGAATGAATGTGAAGCCATCACCTGTAATATCCTGCCACTCAGATTACGAAGGTATCACCATGCATACAGAAGGAGATAGGAACTGATTAAAAACACATGAGGGTTTTCATTTTTCACTAAAAATGCAACAATATGAAATACTCAGAGGCTCATGAATCTTAATCAATAATATCCAATCTTCACGCATCAAGATTCAAGACACTATGCTGTCACCCAATACCTTCCAAGGGTAATATACAGGCGCTTCTTTATCACACTAAGGTCAAATTTTGTCAACAATTTACATTTCTTTAAAGCACCATCACTAACAAGAAACCTCAAGGCCACCAGGCGCCAGTCTCCTTTGTAGAACACGTCTCGTCTCAGAGCATAATTCATTTTCAGAGGACAATCTACACCTCTGCGCTCTCATTCACTCGCTTCCCTCCCACCATTAATTTTGCTCCTCCTTTCCCTACCTACCGCCATCCCGGTGATGGAGGATGCTAAAAGCCCCATCATCGGTGCGTGGGATGGGAAGAATGCCAGAGGAATAGCGTGTGTGTGTCCAGGATGAGTTAAAGGGATAGTAGAGCAGAGGAAGGCTACGATTGACCCAATTCATAGTGGTCAATGCTGATCAAAATGGCACTAAATGCGTGTGTACATACAAGATGTAACGATGTCATTCTTAATGCTAAATATATTACTCATTCGGATATACATGTAGTATCAAAAAATATATCGCTAGTGACATTCGTTTGTCTCGCAATGTATGGTCAGCACGGGATCTAAAAGATCACAACGTTTCGTGTGCTGCTGTTACACTTCGTCAGGTGATAAAATATATTGTAAGCAAGCGTGTTTTATACTCATACTCTACCCTCATTCTTCTTAGCATTTTACTTGTATTATCTTAGATGGCAAGACCATTGTACCACTAGGTATGAGGATCTTTTAAAAAAGAATTGGATTCTGCATTTTAGATTGAAATGAAGATGTTGAACAGAAAGCAGAATGATCCAAATCAATTATTATAAACATAATGAAATAAATTAAGCGGTTTGGAGAGGTTTATTTGATTGGTATAGTTATGATGAAGAAAAATCATCCTAGTATCTGACTAACATTTTTACTAAATAAGAGTTAGTACACCTGTATATCATGTAGGTAGGAGTACGGTACATGAATTTAACAGGCATTCCAATTTCCACTCTAATTGAAAATGGGATTAAAACTAATCATTCAGGCTAAAAGTTACAGGGGAATAAATTGTACTTTGCGAATGAATTCTGGGGAAAGATTGATTGCACGATAGATTGTATAAATTGAAATTTAGGTTCTGAACCTACATCAAAGAAAAAAAGTACAATGGATATTAAAATTGAAAACTATAATGAAAGGGGAGAAGGAACTGATGTAGGGAGGGAAATGGGGAAAGGGAGGGAAGATGAGGGGTGTATCTAATATGAGAGGAAAACAACAATTGGTAAGGTGCTACTAACATACATGATTTTACATTTGCTTGAATGAATGTGGAATTTTCAAACTACATGCCTGAATAGAAATGTATTTTACAAAATTGAGTACATGTACAAGATCTGGATCAGTATATTTCTACGTACAGCCTAGGTTTTGATCCTGAGTTGTCTTGGCTAGCAGAATACATGTTATCATTGCACCCTGAGAATCGTGAAGACATTTTTCAAAATTTAATAACATTTCCTTTAGAAAATAAATGGGTTAAGATTGATTACAAAATGTGTTTTTTTATCCCAAGGTGTATCAAGGAACCCCATAGACTATAGGATGTAATGAATATTGTGCAGTTTTCCCTTAAAAGTGAATTAAATCATGGATGCTTGGCTACGCCATCAAGCAAGAAGGACTTAATTCATTAATTGTAATCCCTAGACAGACTTCTTCCTGAAAGACCACTAAGTGGAGTATGGTTGAAAGATTCATTTGTAACACTTTCAAGAAAAATAAAGAGAAAACAAAAAACAAGGCAAAGTGAAGAGCACGCAAGGGAGTAAGGGAGAGAGAGAGAGAGAGAGAGAGAGGGGAGAGGGAGGGAGAGAGAGGGAGGGAGAGAGAGGGAGAGAGGAGAGGAGAGAGAGAGAGAGATGAACAAAGCTAAGGTGGAGTTACATGCAAAGAGAGAGAGAGAAAGATAGAGATAGAGAGACTGACACACAGGTAGAGAAAGAAAGAGAAAAAGAAAATTTAAAAAGGAGGTGGTGATAAACGATGATCATGTACAAAAACAAGAAAAAGAAAAAAAATTAAAAAACTTCCAACACTGTTCCTTTTAAAAAGTATCCATAGCATACCATGCGATGAGTGACTTTTAACAAGTTCTAGAGTAAAATAGATTTCTAAATGGGTTTTTTAGCTGGTAAGCCGCCCCGCCTGACAACTTCACTTCCTGTCATCAATGAAGTATGTATGGTCATAGTCAAGTCTCCTCATATCCGACCATCATTCAGAGCTAATTGCAATATAATGATTATAGTAAGTACGCATGCATTGAGTGACCGGAGAAAATAAATGGTTTCATCTAAAGAGATTGGAGGATGCATGCTCTGGTGAGTTTTGCTCCATGGTAATTAATCAATGCATTGAAGCCCATTTTAACTTTTGGCAGGACCTATAAAACTCACAAAGATTTCTTTGATTTTATTAGATAAATACAAGAAGCAAGATACTACATTTTTAACAAGTTAGCTGCTGTAAAGATTAATCTCTTTGACAAATGAGAGGTTGAAAGAAAAACAATCTTCCTAGCCACACCGTAAGACGTAACTTTCATGTGTATAGGAAATAAAAATTATTGCAGAAATCACACAATAAAAATAATCCAATTAGTACGCGAAATGGACTCTAAATTGATCAGATCATGTATACAGGTTGTATATAAAATAGAAAATCAGTTTGGTAATCAGAATTCAATTAGAAAAAAATGGACACCGCTATTTTGTAATCCAAGGATTATTGTGAAAGCTGTGTTTTGATGGAGGTTTGCTCGTTCCTTTGATAAAATTGCGTGAGGTAATCGTATCAGTTTGAGTATTCTTTTTCTTGAAAATTGTTTTTATGACAGCCTGCTTTCTACTCTGAAGCAAAAGATTAGAAAGGCGGTTTAATCCTACTTAAAACACAATTTTTAATCAATTTTGCTGGAATAGAACAGTCGCATATACACAGGGTGCACTGCACTCTTTACATCCCTATGCAGTATTGGGAAAAAAACAGAACAGTTTTTTTTCTTCTCACTTTCACTCCATTGATATGATTAAGTTTTTTTCAGGCTACAATCCTGCCAGGCAAATTCTGGAAAATTGCCCAGTATTTGAGTCGGTTTTAAAAGAGTGCTGATAATTACATTTTATCAGTGCTGCCAACCAAGGTGAGATCGACCGGGAATCCCGGCGCTTTCAGCCATTGACAAGGTACTGTGGCTCTTGTGTATTACTTGATTCTTTCTAACAATTTCATGACTGTTGGTTATGGTTGGTTGTGGTTATTTTACCTGACTGCTCAGCAACCAGACGGCCGACGGCTTTAGGTCCTCTCCGAGGGACCTGGTTATGAAGATTAATGCCTTACCAAAGGGCCCTAGCGCATCGACTTTGTTTCGAACCTGGCTCACCAATTTACGAGACTAGTGCTCTACTGACTGGGCTATCGCGCCTCCCTCAGTTACAAGCACTGCTGGACATTTTGCGTGATTCTTTTTTTAAATGATTCTACATACAATTAGATCTTTCTTTCTATTAACTTACCTTGACAGTAGTCAACCAGTTAGGTTGCTCCGCCTCCCATGTGTCTACTTTCAGCCAATCAGAATTCTCTACAGCCATCTTACACATCTCAATACGATGCTTGCTTGAAATTAGGCTCTGCAAATATAATAAAAAAATAATTTAGATAAAATCATGGAATAATCATAATGTTCATTAACAGTAACTTGATTTCACTTTCATGTTTTATAACATAAGTATACAGCTCCTTTAATATTTATGTGAGTAATAAAAAATTAAAAACACTAAAATGGTGTCACGAGACACTTAAAACAATATCATGTGATGCTGAATTGAAAATCTGCATGTACAGTACATGTGGTAAGTTGGCAGCCATGCTATAATATAGTTTTGTGGATCAAAGGACTCTTGCACGCTATTCTGAATATGGTATAGTGACTAAAATCAAATTGATCCGGTTTAATACCGGTACTAAACACAGATATACATGTACATGACTGTGTGACATAGAAAATATTTGTTTGGGATTGATTTCTAACATTTCATACCTGTAATTTTTTTAATCAATTTTCTAACTTTGACCAATGAATTATTAAAAGTAGACCTAAACTAAAACACAACAGTAACCCAATTTTAGGATAATAGTACAAAAACGTCACAGCAGCACAAAGTAAACATTGCCAAATAGATCTACAATATTTCCATATCTCATCGTACAGGGCTTTTTCTACACATGTTTACCAAACCATAGGCCTGAACTGCTTGTTTGTTTTTCTTATTTATCTCACAAAGACATACACCCTGTATTTTTGCTAGACTGGATAATTGCTCCTCTAGCAAGTACATGTACATGTACATGTATGTCTAAACTCTAAACATTGTGCAATATTGAGCTGTTGTGTTACATTTGTATTTTCCAACTGAATGCTCTAGTGGCAATGCATGCAATTGGTCTCAATCAAGATGGAGCTTGTCAAACATGACTGGTAATGAACTGACGTCTGCTACGTGTGGAAACTCTCAATACACTCAATATTAGATAACATTTGTATGTCAAGAATGTCTGGATTAGTGAATCTCAATTATTGGATTATTTATTGAACCTCCTGTGTACATGTATACCTGTTGTGTGTAGAAAACTGAATGTTCATTAAATCACAACCAGAACAATGAATTTGCAGAATCTCATGCATGTAAGAATTTATACCATTAACTTTAGTCTGTATTCTACTACTGGTAAATCTTCAATACCATGTAGGAATTATAAAAGCTACATGTACAGGTATGTCCACATTCAGTTTTAACAAAGGAATTTAGACCAAGGCCCATACATGTAAGTTTCTCAACTGTGTACCGTAATTAACGTTGTATTAACTTTTTTTTTTTTAGGGTGAAAGAGAGGGGTGCGGTTAATACACGAGGGCGGTTTATACACCGTTAATTACGGTAAGTTGATTTCATCCTCACATCAACTATCAACCTATTACGACATAATGTTTTAAACGCTTCATATTTCTGTATCTCATAACAGAGAGCTAAGTGAAACATTTAAGACCTTCGTTGTGCGGAGATGCCATTCACATTTACGCTGTTTTTTTAGGGGGGGTTGCGATGGTTAAAAGCACCTTGATTTACTGTAGACCTGTGGTATTTTGTAAAAGTTATACTTTTTTATTGGAGATTTTCATGAAAAGTTATGGTGAAGAAGGAAAGCAGTAAGGTTGTTCTAAATGAGGATGATTGAGACAAGAAGTGGAGAGAGAGTGTGTCATCATGGCGCGAAAATCAGTGACCCCTCATAACAGCAAAAATGCTGACTCTAATAAAATGATGATGATGATGACGATAGTAAATTCTTTTTAGTGAACAACATTTGATAGTAGTATGAGGGCAATATTATTCCTACATGTATTTTATTCTATCTATGGTGTTCAGATCATAACTCTCAATCTTAGTCTACCTCTTCCCTTGTCCAACATGGAATTATCCTATTTCAGTGATGGCGTCATATTTTTGATAACGGCTATAAGTCAGCTTAATGAACCTCTCGCTTCAAACGTGTTACTTTGGGGACCAACTGGGGAACATACATCAAACAACCTCATCCTAGAGGTATCTGGTTATCTATCAGAGTCGTAAATATGACAGATTGGTATCCATGGTGTTAGTTACATGTCTGCTCTTTAGTCCCTTGAGATTACATGTAAGTGGTAAGAAGAAGTAACATGGTGTTTGTTGGGGTCAGCTGGAACACCTTTTTATACAAATTGTCCAATAGTGCCTGCCAGCAGACTTTATGAAAGTTATAACAGTGCAGGTTTTCTTTCACTATGGGGTTACTTCTTGAAACATGAATTTGTGCAGTAAACTGAAAAAATATAAGTTTCACACATAAAATAAACTCCAGGCCATAATAAATATGTGTGTAGAAAGAAATGAAACAAAAAGGGAAGAAACTTTTAGAGTAAAGAGTGCAATGTAATAGGAAATGCCCATCGTACATTCTAAGGGACATGTACATGTAAATCTAACTGTATTTAGCTTGCGAGATGCCAGTCGATAATAAAATATATTTCTGCTTTAAAAAATATGAAAATGGAAGGATTTTAGAGATTTCCAGCACTGAGATGATAAAAAGCCCAGATCAGTTTCAGCAATAACCACAAGATTAGTGGACTTACTTAGTACAAATCAACATTGATGAATGAGTTAACAGGCTATCAATGGGAACCTAATCTAAATACTAATTGCTTACTCTAATAGGTACTTGACATTTAAAGACGCACCTGTAATGACTTGGATAAATTCCTTTAACATTAAAACTACTTTACCATCTTCATTAGACCGAGGTGGATGAACTCGTGGGTAATCAATACAAATAGTGATAGAATCCTACCATTAGGGATGACAGCTGTTTTATTACAAAGTGCTTCTCTGAGAGCCACAAAGTATTTATAATTATGTCTATTTCAAAAGCCAGCAAGTTGCTGCTAGTACATGAAACAAAATTTGGATGTTTAACTTTGTCTGCCCAAACAGGATAAAGCAGCATCATGCCTGACATATATGTATATTATGAAGATAGGAAATTTGTTTTCCTTAAAACACAACACTACATTGAAATAACAAAATGTTATTGGTGATTCTCTGTTTTAATATTTACAAGATCATATTGAAACTTGAAAGAAAAAAAATATACAATAGGAGTATAAGACAACCAAAATAAAACCAAAACATAGCATTGTGTTGTTGTTGTTCAATATACTACAAATTACAATGTAGGATACCATACATTAACTTCTTTCAATTGCTACCATTACATTGTACAGCATGCTTGGTACAAGCATGGAGATATATATATATATCTTATATCTCCATGGTACAAGCAAGGATATTTCAGGCTGTAGTACTGTACATACCTTTACCTGTATTGAGGTGATTAACCTTTTAAGCCTTGAAGCGTTACCTTGCTACCGAGTCATGAAAAGGCTCTAAAAACAACACTAACGTTACACTTCTGGAAGCGTTTCACATACTCATCCCCTATGGCATTCAATCATTCAAACTTGAAGGTGACCATAAAAAGTAATGCCAGTAGTACCGAATCAAGTGGCTGTCATTTTGATTTCACGACCAAGAAGACATCCCATAACTGTACTGATGTTGAGATGTTGACAGTATTTTCAGAGAAAGTCTTTAGGACAGAGTATGATGTTGCTCATGATTTTCATCTGAACCTATGAAGGTGTTTATTTGATATAGGCCTGTAACCGATCATTGGATCGGGGGCCGATCTTGAGCCAATCAGGTGAGATCAGATTATAATTTCTGATCGCCGATCAATAAAAATGATCAGAAAAAAATTGGCAGATTTTTTTTTTTTTTTTTAAAGCCGAAAAGGTTCAAGTTTTTTGCTATCAAAACAAGATAAAAATTCAATTGTTCAATTTTGATCTTACCTGCTTTTTATATCCATCATTGACAGGAGATAGAACTCCACCAATCACCTGGTACTTGCCTGTATGATGCAGATAGTCTCGGGCTATCTCTGTAAATACAAGAAAAAACGAAGAATAAGAAGTAAACTCAAGAGCGAAAGATAATGTATTAAAATCAAAGAGATAAATAGATAGGGAAGAGAGGGACATGTTGTAACTAGTGTAAAAATAGAGTAAACAATATATATTTTCATATTTTTATAGATTGATGCAGAAAAAAGAGATAAACTGATCAGACTCAGATTAAAGAATAAGAATGGTAAAATAGAGAGAAGGTTGCAGTGTACCAAACTGTAATTAATGTTACAAAATTAATAAAGTATAATCTCAAAATTCATTTTCATAGTGTTTCCATGTTATTGACCAGTCTGAGTCATTGTATACCCTTTTGTGCCCAGCGGTACTGTGCATTGGGTGCAAACACATGTTTTTGTTTGTTCTAATTCCAGAGTAGTTCCTTTTTTATTGCTGAAGTAATAATATTAATTTAAAACAACTTGGACAATGTACAAGTAACGTATCAATTGAAGTTATTGCAGGGGCGGATCTAGCTTTTTGCTCAGGGGGGGTTGACCAATAATGACGATGCGGAGCATCGTCCACGAGCCGCGAAGCGGCGAGCCGATTTTTTTTGGGGTGTTTATTTGAACCCCGTAAGTGATGTTTTCCTGGCATCTATTAACACAATGGAGACCATAAAAAGCAGTGCATGATAACGTCTTTGTAAATCAAGTAACAGTTAAATACACAGTTATATCCAGAGTTATCATGTGTTTGGTTAAGTTACCAGATGAGTTGAATATCTTCTCACAATATTTGCACTTGAAAGGGTTTCTCTCCAGCGTGCGTTCTTTTTTCTTTCTTTTTTTCTTTTTTTTTTTTTTCTTTTTTTTTTCCTTTTTTTTTTTTTTTTTTTTTAATGTGGGGATTTTGGGGATGAGAATCGGCAACGCTGGCCTAGCTTGTCACTTCGGCGGTGGCCCGTGTCCTCAAAAAAGCTGATGGGGGGGGGGGGCAAGGGACTCTGTGACATTTGTTCGCCCAACCCCCCCCCCCCCTCCCCCCAAAAAGAAATAATAATAATAATAATAATAATAATAATAATAATAATAATAATAATAATAATAATAATAATAATAAATGAAATAAATACATAGAAATAGAATAAAATAAAATTACAAGTTTAAAAAAAAAGATAAGATTTAAAAAAATGGTCCCCGGATTTTTTTTTTTGGGGGGGTTGCAACCCCCCCAACCCCCCCTCTAGATCCGCTTCTGTATTGTAAAGATGAAGTCAAATAATTATCATAACTTTGAAATGCATCTACATGTACATGTATATACAGTGTCCTTGCATTCTCTTGTACCCTTCTGCAGGCACACAATGGTGAGATGATGAGATGCAGACTTCATTAGAGCAGCTATCTTTAATAGCTGTTCTATCTGCGATAGCCCTATGATTTAGAAACCAGGACCTAAGCTAGCCTATGAATGCCCTGTGTACTTGATGATTTCTCCACACATATAACTCAAGCCTTAAAACTAGTCATCATATGGTCATTAGTGAGAAAAAACACAGAGAGGAAAAAAATGAATACAGCCAGCATAATACACTGTATGGATATTTCATAGCATGCAAGCAGAATGTGGATTGTTTTACTGATTAAATTACATGTAACCTTAGAGAAAAGTAATTTTCAAAAGTTCCAAAACTGAATAACTCGTTAATGCTTAGAATTAGGTATGGTGACTGAATCATATTTAATCTAATTAGTTTTACATGTACAAGTACACCCTGTACATGTACATATGTGGGGGCCCTATTCATAAGCAATTTGTTTTTTGTAGCCCTGACTATATATTTGCTTTGTATTTTTTATGTTTTTCTTTTTTTCTTTTGTATGTTTTGCTTTTACATATTTATGTTTAAATAAATTCAATTCAATATCAGCCTGTACACCCCAATTTTCAAAGAGATCATACCTCATCTTAAGGCTCAACTATCCAAAACAAGGCCCTTCATTATAACACAAATTTGATTGAAAATCGATATTCTTATGAGTGGCTTAACCACTTTGAAAAATAATGCACTATATAATCTCATGATAAATGGACTACCTAGTGATTTTTTATTCTATAAAACGTTGTATAAATTGTCAGGCTACCGGTAAACAAAAAAAGTGTATTATGAGTAGAACTAGATGTCTGCTTGTGGGGTCTGTCACATAGACTACAGGATAATCGTTGGAGATTGCTAATCATAATGCTCAAAATGAGAAATATTTTACCACTGATGCACAATGCTGTTGATTTTCACAGACTTGGGGGAATACGTCACGGCACTGCATGACGTCACCTACAATGTATATACTGTCCCACAGGTTTCATCAAGGAGATTGCCCTGTAGAATACCACTACAACAGCTTATCAAAGGTAGTGTCAGCTAAAGTACATGTTTCTATATTTATAGTGGGTCATGATTCAGATTAGCATGTTACCTCAAATACTATAATGTGTATGCAATTTTTGGTACATACTTATATTCTTTACTACATGTAGGTGAACGTGTTAGCAAGAAAAGATTTTTAATATTTATGAGACACTTGATCTACACATGAGTATAAAATACAAAATGCCTATCAAGTTCATATCTTGTAGCAAATATTTTGCTCAGTAGGTATTTTCAGGCTATTGTTGTATTTTCATTTGTTTTTACACTCATTTCTCCAAAAAAAGATCTGGATGCAGGATGGGGAATTCTTGTACAGAGAAATCTTTACAAGAGAAGTTTCTCTAAAATATGAATTTTGTGGTTAGAAAAGTAAATGTCAACAAAGAGCTAATGGACCTCCTTGAAATGGGATGACAACTGGAACCACAAACACTCAAGATGAAGAGCTTGTGATTTATAGTGTAGGCTTAAAAAACATTTGCAGCACTGCATCCACTTTAAAAGTGTGAGGTCATTTTTACTGAGGATAAAAAGGACAGTAGTTCCTCCTGGTGTTGGGTAGGGCAGTGGCTGCACATGGCAAACCTTGGACAGGTTTCCTGTCGGTGGAGGAAATGATGAAATCAGGCAGAACTAACCCATTGTCAGAGGAAATCCTGTTCACTCCCTTTTCCAGCATCCTTTTAAGTTATTTTAACCCATGGAATACACTTTGATTTGGGTACACTCGTACAACACATACTTTCCAGAGATCTCTGATGGAGTTATCTCAGGCTTAGTATTCTATGGATTAATCATATTCCACTGGATTATGTACATTTTATGGTTTGTGCACGAAAAATATCCCTGGTTGAAAAAGCTACCACCATGTATAAAGATCTATTTGCTGCCAGTCAAAATACTTTTGAGGGGCATTCTTAAATGTTTACCGGTATTTCTTTGAAACTTAAATCTGTAAAAGTGGTACATAACCTTAATCCTGAATTTCTAAAATGGATAAGGCTGGTTATTAAAACATAAAACAATTATTGAAATGCATAGTTCAAAGCATTGAGCATTTCCGGTAAATACACAGTAATACATGCATGGAACCCAGGTACGTGTATAATTGCTTTATGGATTATGATTTTTTTTTTCTTCTTCCAACTATTAAGAATATCAAAGCAATGAATATCTACACGTACATGTAGCTATATATGTATCTGAAGTATATTGTTAACCATGTTGGCTCTTATATTTTCTATATCAATGACTATAATTCCCAGATTTCCCAAGAAACTCATTGGGCATTTTTTTAAAATTATTTAATTTCACTCGGTAGAGGTTTTAAATCATTCTTGATCATGATTCTTCATAGTACGCCTCTGCAATCAGCAGTGCAGCAAGTTCTTCCAGAACAGTACAGTCAAACCTGCCTATGGCGACTGCCCACGGGAAACATAAAAAGTTTTCTTTGTAGACAGGTTCATTTAGTATGTGGTTCAATGAGAAACCATTTTCAAGGGAAACAAAAAATGTGGTCTTTCTAGACAGGTGGTCACTGTGGCAGGTTTGACTGTATCATCATATTATGACTTTTGCATACATGTAAATGGTATGTACTGTATGTACATGTACATGTACATGTACATGTACATGTATACTATGAGTCCAAGTATTTTTTTCAATCTTAACATATAAAAGTATGGAATTATGGATATTAAAAATCAGAACAAAAATGAGAGCAGCAAGCATTTTATCAGGTAGAGCACGGAACTCAGAATGCACTGTTGATGGTGAAATGGCAATGAAATACAAATAATTAAGCATCATGAATTAGTATCTCTTGTGTAATAGAATCATGTCACTTTTCACCATCATTTTGTAATGGTCTATTTACAACGTCATTATTTTTGTATCAATCATGAACAACAGATCTACATGTAGATATCAATCTCGAGTAAACCATCCATGATTAGGAAATAGTAACAAGTCTCATTCACAACATACACATCAATCTCTGAACAAATCAACACAGTACTGCACAGTAAATGGAAAAATTGAGACAAAACCGACTCCCTGAACTTTGACTCAGGACTAATAATAGGAAAACTAAGACCCTTTCTAGACAGAGTTCATTTGTTAAATCTGATTTTGGGGCAAAAGTATCAACTACATGTAAGTCCCAGGTTTAAAGCTTACTACAATACAATACGAGCCCAAGAGTTTCAACTTTTCCACTATTCAAATGATTCAGTGAGAGTGTATTATAGGAAGCACCATGCATGTCTGCAACCCTATTGAATAGACTTGAAAATGGTTAAGAATTTTGTTGGAACAATTCCTGGAATAATAACAATAATGCATAAGATTTGTAAGGCAACACATTCACTTGACAATCAAATGCTCAAGGCGCAGCTTGTGCAAAAGATGAAATAAATGATAAATATAAAAAAGTGCGATAGGAAAGGTAAGGAGATGAAAGGTAATGGTAATCAATTATAGGCTAAATTAAACAGATATTTCTTAAGATTATTTTTCAACACTTCAGCAGAACTGCTATCTTTTATGATTATTTTCATGTTATTCCTGAATGTCCAAAAGAGTAAGAAGGTTAAATGTTAAAACATGTGACAATAAAGTTGAACTTGCATTCATTTACTCTACTGTAGATGGATTGTCAGCATCAAATTGGCAATGCTAAATCAGCCTTTCCTGTACGCAAGAATGTTATACGTTTCCAGCCAGGATCAACAATGCAAACTCTAGTCAGAGGTCAAAGTTTTTTGTCATGTAAATTGCAAAAAAATGCTTATAATATATGAAACTGATTTCAAAGTGTATTGCATGAGTAGAAAGAAAAATCATTCAGCAAAACGTCAAAGGTACCGGGTAGTTTTTGCAATGTTCGTTTGCCGTTAGACCGAAAGCTTCAGTCTCTGATATCAATAGTTGTTCCGCTGAGACTATTTAGATTCGTCTGGCTCCGCTAACCGCATCTATATACAGAGACCTACATGTAAGTACATCGTACGGCCGGGTTAGTGAGGGGGTTCTCCATTGCAATTTGTATGTGTTTGCCAATCTCATTGCACGCAGTAGCTTCAAGAAAATGGACAGATTAGCTAAAAGTAAGTTCCTTATAAAGTTATATTTGTTGATGCTTTATAATTATATCAAAATCAATATTATAATACAATATTAATTTTTGATGTTATTTTTATAATATCAGTAAGGGCCCTGGTCTGAGAATAAGAAAGACAAACAAGATCGTCTTCGAAAAACGCGGACAGATGCGTCCGCAAAAGTTTGTATCGTCTGCATTTACGCTGACGATTCTGATTTCCGATCTGCGCGTTGGCGATGCAAAAAAACGGGTTCCGCAGTGATTTTCTTGATGCATTTTACATTGACTTTGTACAGACTTTCATGTTATGAGCGATAAATCCTCAGGAAGAAAGACGACCCATAAAAGTATATGATCGAACTGGGGGTATTTTAAGTAGGCGGATTATTTTTTCGCATCGCCAGTGCGGGAATCGAGAACCTGAAACCTGCAGAGCGCCGTAAACTAAGATTACAGTCGCTAACTTACACACGCATGCACCCGCACGCGCACCCGGTCGTCAGGACGGTATGTACATGTAATTGTATTTTGTACTGTGCGCATGTGCTTCAGTTTGCTGTGAATCATGTGAGAAAGTGCACATTATAAAGTCTTTGTTTTTCAGGAAAAATACTCCGAAAAAGATAAGAAAATTGGCATGAAACAGCTCCCCAAAAACATATATTTCATAATTCACTGAGCCAGTACTTTTGTGGTAGGCCTAATAATGCTAGTTTGACTCTGCCTAGCCACCGCCCCAACATTTCGCACCAGAAGCCAATGCAAGCCAAAGCCCGATGGCTGCAGCCAAGGTCAAACTTGTTTAGAAAATAAAAATCAAATTCACACATAAAATGTACCGTACACATATTCAATCTTCATTAGACACTATCCAAACACAACATGGACAAATATGCTGCAGAAATACTCACCAAACATTCTCAAATGCATGTTTGTAATCGGGTTGTACGACCCGCAAGCCAGAAGCAAGACTCTTGTGGGCGCCGCCATTTTGTCGATGGATCGCAGAGGTTGACGAACTTTCGCGTGCACACCAGCTGATATTGGAGCAGACGGCTTCTCATCGGCGTAGGAGAATGCCGTAGCAGCCGCCGCTCCATTGCCAGCGCATTTCGTACACGGCGTTGAGTTTGTTTTGATCGGCGAATTCGGAGGTCGAAAAAAGTGTGGGGAAACCGAGCGAGATCGCCTCGTACTACTATCTCGATTGGGCCTCATACAGATTGTTATAAACTTAAACTTTCCCGGCATTTCATATAAAACAAATCAGAAGGAAGATAAGTGTTCCATTATCCAACGACAAATCCATGAGTGTAAATAGCAAGTGAAAGTAGTAAAATGAAACTACCCCACTAGGACATGTTTTCGGTCATCCCAAAGTTGGCTTTCGTCATTTTGTACGGGTCACTTGCTCGGAGTTGGTTGGCTGAGAGAAGTCCCGAGTGGGCGGGTCGGGACGTAAGCCGATAATACGCTCTCAGCAAATGAGTGGGCAGGGGTTGTAGAAAGCGGCTTGGAATGTATGAATATCTTGACGTCACATCGTAAATCCTTTTTGAGATTGACCCATGTTGTACATGTAACTCTTTCCGATTCATACTTGCTATCTAATTAAGTTGTTCTTCTAATCTGTGTGGTGAGCAAAGCACCTAGCTCTATCTGGAAGAAACCCAAGCAAGCCTCCAATGAGAACATGTTTTTAAAATATATTTTAATTGTGAACTTTGAATAAAGTATAAACTATGTGAATGGATTGAATAAAGGGAAGTGCTTGCATACTTCACATAGCAACATATATACCTATCTTTTCCGAGATTTCAATTTATGAGAGCAAATTTAGAAAGGATTTGTTATATTTATTTATTAAGAAGGTTGGTATTTTGAGGAACATTGTACATGTACACATATATTAAGCCAACCCTTTTTGAGGGTGTTATTATTTCTTTGTTCACACTAATAACCTTAGCTTTTTAATTGAAAGACAAATTAAACACACAATAGAAACGAGTGATTCTATTCTTATCCAGAAATTAAGCTTATTTTGTTATAAAGAAAAGAACTCAACATATTTTGCAAGTGTGCTGCCTAAAACAAGAATTATTTTATTTTACTTTGATATTATTAATTGTAAGCAATTATCTAGTGAAACATATTTCATTAAAGTCATCACATTTTTTAATAATTAAAAAAAAAAATCATTTATTTATATTTGTTCAATTATTATTATTATTATTTATTTATTATTTTTTTAATTTTTTTATTATTATTATTATTATTTTTTTATTTTTTATTTATTTATTTATTTATTTATTTTTTTTTTTTTTTTGGGGGGGGGGTGATATGGTTTGTGTTTCATGATACTGCTGTTTATGGATTGTATAAAGAGTTTTGGCTCATACTGTATAATTTATGATTCTCTGTAAAAGAGACAGGAGACCCTCAGTATGCAGAGTTGTAAATAATGAGATTTGAATATCACTACTTTGGGAAAGAATGGATCATCCATTGGTCCCAAGTCCCAAGTATAATCATCTGAATTCAAAGTAGATTAATGATCCATAGAATAGATTGAAAAAATGTCAATGTCACCATCATAATCATAATCATCATCATTAGCATCATCTTTCTCATTAAACTTTTTAGATAATTGCACACAAAAACTAAAGTACCACTTACATTGTTTGTTTGTTTACTGTAGTTAGCATCAATGTCATTATTCTAATGATTTAAATTAAATTACTTTCAACCAGGCAAAGTGAAAAGTAGCACAAATGAATAGAAAAAAGAGAAAGGAATACAGCTTTTTGTTTGTCTTCATACATTTAATCTTCCAACATATTCCTTTACATCAAAATGTCTACAAATCAGAAACAACTGCACTTACATGAGAGTGGCAAAGTGCAAGCAATTTATCATTTACCAATAAATGCAAATACTCCATTTCATGTTGTATGGAGGGTATGAATGGAATTGTCTGTTTCAAGCCAGAAGGGCGTTAACTCGTTAAACACATAGTTAACGTCCTTCTGCCTCTAAACAGACAAAATATAGTACAGAGAAGAGAGATGGAATGGGAGAGGATCATAATTATAAATTAAGATAAATAATGATGAAATTAAAATAACTCTGAGTGAAGACATGCATGAATGATTTAAAAGATATAGGTACATGTATTTTCCATACATTTATGTTTCAAACATTTTAAGGGTGAATGCCATATATGTGCCATATCAAATACATTCAGCAGAATAAATGTCACAGATGGTAGCATTGTGGTTTTGTTCACCTACTGTGTTTTTTTCCATCAGAAAGGTAAGCGTCAACTGGTACAACCAACAGTGATGCAGCAAACCAGTAAATAAATAATGTTTTTACCTATTCCCATGTAAAGGAGGATGCGTTAAATAGCATCTCAAATTATGCAAAAACACTTTATCCGGTATGACGACCATCTCGCATGATTGCATAAAACGATTCGGTAAAACATGTCAAAGGTGGTGCTAGAGAGTGTTCTTCATGTGAATTACAGGCAATGAAAAACATTTTCATTGTGCAAAATTACTTGTAGGCATTAAACAGTCCAAGTAACAATTTAAGAAGCATACGTTTTAGTTTGAATGAAAAAGGTGTGCGATCAAACTGTAGGGACGTTGTGTGTACTTGTCATTGAAAATTCATAGTAGCTTAGCAATTATCAAATTGCAGCTGTTGATCACCAGAGCTTTTACCTGTATGACATGCAACTAGAAAGCTCTTTTAAAACAAGAAGGATATCATTCTCAGTTCAACAAAGGCATAAACATCAGTTAAATAATGCCATAAGGTTTACGTAGTAGTCATTCATCTCAAACATGTAATTTCAAATTGCTATATTGCTGCAAACATGTGTGTATTAAATTCATTAATAAAATAGTGGAATAATTGGCAGGTGTTTGGTTAGAAAAGTTAAAATGTCTTCTTGTATTAACTAAGAAAAGAAATCCTCTCTCACCTCATACCTGTGTTCAAATAAGAATTCCATAACTGCTCTCAGAGTCGTACATGAAAAAACATTTTTGCCCCAAGTGAATTATTTTCTTTTTATCTAATGCTAAGGAATTTATTTTACCTTTCTGTTTTCCAAAGAAAATTATTTAATTGCCACCATCCCTGCTGGGAAAAAGGATTGTGTTACAAAGCTTACAACTAACAATGTACAATTTTCTACAGTAAATTGTCTTCTATAAGCTGATGTAATGTATTATCTGCACTTTAAACGACATCGGCTTAGATAGGACTCTTATTCATTAAATGTGGATTCTTCAACATTTTATGTCCAGTAACATTTTTACTATACAAACTGCTTATCCTAAACAAATACATAAAGTGACATGAACTGATTGAATCATTTTTTGCTATCTTTATCCTCCTTTTTGTCTGAGTCTTTTGGTTGTGTGAGATTGCCCATAGCTCTCTGGACGTCTTCACTGGTAGGATCAACCCCTGGTAGGGTGCTCAAGACACTCTGAAGGAATTCAGGATCGTTCATCACCTCAGAGAAATCATCGTCAGGCTAGCGCAAAAGAAAAGAAAAGTAAGAAAAACCTGTGAGTACACACATGTACAATTATACTATCATTATGAATCATAAACTTAGTGGCCCGAATTCACAAAGGAGGTTTGTCGACACCGTTTTGACGCGTTTTGACAAACCTAGGTTTGTAAAAACGCGTCAAAACGTGTCATATGACGTACATAAACCTAGGTTTAACAAACCTCCTTTGTGAATTCGGGCCAATGTGCACAGTACACATCAGCAGCAGTTTAACTCGCTCAATTCTGCCTCTACAAAATATACAGGAGACTTTCCAGTGGAGAAGGAGCAGCCATGTTTTCTCCAGGACTTTGAAAGAACATCCAAGAGCTTTACCTCCTCATCAAAAGCCTGATTAGACTGTCACATTGCCATTAGAGGGAAAATAGTGAATAACAGAGGGTTTATTATTTCTAAACAAGAGCATTTTATTGCAAAGAGTCAGTGTTGGCTCAGTTTTGGCAGCACAAAACTTTCATGAATCTGAATCAACATGAATACACATGAACGTTTCTGGTTTTGTACTGATAAGGATGTGTTATATATTGGATAGCCAATAACTACCTCTATCAGTCACATTTGAATATATTAAGTGATATAATAAGAGCCCCTAGTAGTCATACCTTTGATGCTGCTGAGTCTGTAGCAGGTGTATCTGTTTCCATAGGAGTTTCTCGTTGAGACGAAGGCTCAGCTGATGATGGCAGATCAGCTGAGAAGATCACACAAAAAAAGATAACAGTTTAATTTATAAAGCACTTTTCCTGAGGTTATACTTCAAGGAAATTCTTATACTATTTCCTGAGGTTATACTTCAAGGAATTTCTTATACTATTTCCTGAGGTTATACTTCAAGGAATTTCTTATACTATTTCCTGAGGTTATACTTCAAGGAATTTCTTATAATATTTCCTGAGGTTATACTTCAAGGAATTTCTTAAACTATTTCTTGAGGTTATACTTCAAGGAATTTCTTATACTATTTCCTGAGAATTGTATTACAAATTTTCTTTGTATAAAATGTATATAAACTTACTCCATCTTGCACAGCAAATGTAAAGTCATTAAACAAATGATAAAATACAGTACAATAATTCTTTACTCTTTTGTGAATGAATATCTAATCATTCTCTTCCGGTTCAGAGCCACGCTTCAACTTGGGGAACTTCATACCGATTCCTTACTAAATATACCTACCTACAACCGTTTGTCTTAGAGACATCTGAAGAGCATAAGCAATCTGTTCTTCTTCTGTCATAGCTCCTAGGTCTGGTGTAGGTGTTTCCTCAAAGCTACTCATTGGTTGGTTGGACATCACCAAAGCTTGCTCCAAAAGAGCCTCCTCGGAATCTGAAATAAACAACCAACAATATTTTAACTACATTTTAAAAAAATACTCACTTGTTTGATGATTAATAATGCATTAGTGCTTGATATTGTCTCTTAGGAGCTTGAATGGCATTAACTCATGTACTTTAACACAGAGTGATTGTCCTTATGGCTCAGATAAAACAGATAAAATTGTGCATCTAGTGAGTACAAAAAAAAGCTTTGAAAAGTATCCTCAAGAACCAACAGTACCAAAACCATATGTCTTTATGTATATTTTGTAATCTGTATTGTTTCTGCATGTGAAATGTGAAATCAATAAACTCAAACTCAAACTCAAACTCAAACTCAAGTGTCCAGTCAACTATCATTTAGCTAGTTGTCACCAGAAATAAGTCATTATTTTTCTTATTTTTGTCAGCTGGAATTGTATCTACTGAGTGAAATGATTTAAAATGCTTTAGAATCAGGTTCAATTTGCAGTAGTATCAATACGGTGGTGGTATAGAGCTCCTTGATTGCAAAGACAAATTCTGTGATATAATTCTATTAGTTCTGATATCGTTTTCAGACTACTTTCAACTGATGTATTTTTTAAAAGTAGCAATGCTGTAAGGAATGATATACTCCTTCTTCTTCTGCAGTATACTCCTCAACGTCCTGTTAGGAACCAAACAAGGAGGATGAGGGGGTGCGCACTGTTGCTTATTTATAATAGTGCTGTAGGTCAGACGCTATGTTCGTGTTCGGTTCGGTTTGGCAGAGTTCGGCAATTTTTTCACCCAAACTTGGTTTGGTTCGGCTTGGTTCGGTTTGGTTCGGTTTGGTTCGGTTCGGAAGTGCCATTTTCGGCGAACTTCCGTTTAGTTCGGCGGTTCGGCTAGAGCACTAATTTATACTAACCTGCTGGTTGAGCACTAGGTTTATCAGTGGATGAGGGGGTGCGCACTCTTGCTTATTTATACTAACCTGCTGGTTGAGCACTTGGTTTATCAGTGGATGAGGGGGTGCACACTCTTGCTTATTTATACTAACCTGCTGGTTGAGCACTTGGTTTATCAGTGGATGAGGGGGTGCGCACTCTTGCTTATTTATACTAACCTGCTGGTTGAGCACTTGGTTTATCAGTGGATGAGGGGGTGCACACTCTTGCTTATTTATACTAACCTGCTGGTTGAGCACTTGGTTTATCAGTGGATGAGGGGGTGCGCACTGTTGCTTATTTATACTAACCTGCTGGTTGAGCACTTGGTTTATCAGTGGATGAGGGGGTGCGCACTGTTGCTTATTTATACTAACCTGCTGGTTGAGCAATTGGTTTATCAGTGGATGAGGGGGTGCGCACTGTTGCTTATTTATACTAACCTGCTGGTTGAGCAATTGGTTTATCGGTGGTACCATCACCAGGCTCCTTGGTGACATCTTCTTGCCTCTGTCTCTGCTCCTCCATCGAGATACGCAAGGCCTGGAACAAAGAAAAGAAGCTCTCACGATAACATAGCACCACTCTTACTGACAATTTCAGGGAAAATAAAGCTTTTTCTCAAAAGATTTCATGGTATCATCTTCTTATTTCTGTCTCTGCTCCCAAATATAGATACGCAGGGACAGGGGAAAGAAACTAGTTTTTGTGATTGCAGTACTCCTACTGAAATATTCAGGGAAAACAAACTTTGGAAAATCTTTATGATATTTCTTGGTATCGTTTTCTAGACTCTGTCTCTGCTTCTCCATCGAAATACACAGAGCCTGGGACAGAGAGAATCGGGTCTCATTGTTTAATATAACAGTACTGCTATTGGAAGTTTCCAGGAAAACAACTTCATATTTTGGGCCTGCATAAAGGAAAACCCCTCAATCATCAATATTTCAGTATTGACAATGAAACTTACCATGGCCAATTCAGGGTCTGTGGAAGGATCAAAGCCAAACTCAAAATCTCCACCGCTTGCTCCAGGTAGCCCTGGTACAGCACCAGATCCATCTTCTCCTACAATGATTGGGGAGTTCATCAAAGCATCGGACAGCATCGTACCGGGAGGAATGGTGACCAGATGAGACCTAGGGACCATGTGGAAGAGGGTAGTGGGTTAGTTCAATTGAATTGAAATCACACACACACACAACAAAAAATGAGGACTGGTAACATGAAAATCTTTTCTTAGGTGAAGACAAAGATTAAAAAACATCAGTGCCCATATCAATTAATACAATTTGGCAATATTGTGAATACTGAACTGATATTTAAACTGTTGAACACCTTTGCATAATAGCAAGAAAATAATACTGATAACATAATGAAACTTATCAAAAAATGAGTCATCTTTTGAAATTTTACATATAATGGCAGTAAATACAGTGGCAAATCAATTATTAAAATAATCTAGCTTTAGGTGACAGTATGATTTTGGGTTAGATATGTTAAAAGTGATCTCAAACATAATTATGTTTAAAGGGCCACATCATGTCATATTGCTGTAATTATCATTTGAGTGAGAGATATCCTGACTTGTAGCTCTTACCCTGTGCCCTCATTTCCATTGATAGTGTTGATGAATGCTGTCAGCTTGTCTGTGTTCACGCTCTTCAAATGAACAAACATGAAATACAAAATTAACAAATAGTTCTTACGAAATACGAATATTTAACAAAAACAGCATTTTGTAACTAAAAATCTGTATGTCATGTCATATTCTTGAGCGCTGTTCTGACCAGGCGTGGATCCAGGATTTCTTTTTTTTTTGCTCCCGAAAATTTGAAAATCGCGCCAGCCGAAAAGTCGCTCAGTGGGGGGGGGGTAGTGAGCACATTTTTTTTGGGGGGGTCCTCGAAAATTTTAAAATTTGCACCCCCCCCCCTTGAGCGTCAGGGGGGGGGGCCCAACCCCCCAAAAAGGTAAAAATTGCGTGATTTTGCATGACTTTTTTCTCAAGGGGGGGGGGGGGGGGCCCGGGCCCCCCCTGGATCCGCCACTGGTTCTGACAAGGGAAAACTGGTGCGAGTATGGCTAAGATTACAGACTCCTAATTTTTTTTAATTTACGTCTCATATATAGTAACTTTAGATAGAATTTTGAAAAATAGAAATAACTACAATAGCAGCAAGGAATTACATTGTATATCATCTAACATTATAATAACAGTATTAAAAAGGATAGGGAAAAAGGGAAACCTTGTGGAGGCATATTTCTGTTCATAAGACGACCTTGCAGTGGACATGCATGATTTAAAAGACAATAGAGGTTGCCTTGCAAATGAATTGTTATACTGTTTGGCAAGTTGCCCCTACAATGAATTGTAATCCCTCATCACTTATCATACTCTTATAACACTTTATAACACTTACATCTTCTCCAAAGTTGATCAAATCCACAGACACCTTCTCTTTCTTCAATTTCTTGGCCATTTTAACAAGCTTGGAAACAAAGAAAGTAAGATATCAATGTTAAATACAACTTCTTAAAGACAAAGGAAAATGGTATACAAGTCACTGAAGACTACACACTCAAATCATGATAAATTCATTAGAATATTTTGAAAAATTGAATGTTGCATGGATGCTTCTAAAACAAAGAAAGGTACAATGATATATCACTACCAAGTTCAAACCTTTGCAACATAGCTTCACACACATTTATTTAAATATATCAGCATTAACAAAACACAATATCAAATAAATTGTTGATAATATGCTACTTCCAAAAGGGTATCATATTGCATACATCTGCCAACCTTTCACAGCAAAAGTTAAGAATCTCTCAAGGCAAAATAAGGAATAGTCTATTTTATATATTTTTCACACAGAATATTTCTGAAAAGAGAGGAATCTAGAATTCAAAACAATAGCTAGGAAGTCAAAAAACAGGAATCATTCCTTGGATGGTTGGCAGCTATGATATTGACATAAATAACTGATTTATAAATGTTTCTAAATAATAAAAGATTTAATTTAGACATAATACCTCTTTCTCTTCACTCTCCACTGGGCTTCCAACGAATGCAACAATCCTCATCCTGTGATTCTTGCCTTGTCTGTGCTTCAATGCCAACTAGAAATGGGAAAGATTTTTCATGTTGAAAAAACAAGAGGAGATCCATTACCTGATTGGTCAATGAAATGTTAGGTGGTATATATAAGAATTTAGACCAATAAAATCTACTTGAAGCTGCCCACAATTCCCACAAATAAACAATAAAAACAATTTAGTCTAAATAATGTCAAAGGAAGGTTTCAGGAATTAAATAAAAAAAACATTCAGAGCAAAGGTGAATATCTTCAATTTGGAATTTGTTGGATTTCAAATTTAAATACAGATAAATCCATTCCATGGTCATGTGTTGATACTTCTAGCCATCACATTAAATGATGTTGTCTAGACAAAGTTTAGTCAGCAGATGAGCCCTATACAAGAAATATGTTTAATATGTTAAGGATTAGCATTGGGTTTTAAAAAAATTGTTCAGTCCAAGGTGGAAGTAAGGTTTTCAAATATCTTTAAAACCAATTCTAAACAACAGTCACTGGAGAATGTGTCCATTCTTCCTTTGGCTAGCCCCATTTAAAAAAAATAGCTTAAGTCATGCAATATCAAATTTCAAGGTAGGACACCTGTATGCCTAAGCTCAATCATGAACAAGTTACTCATATTTTGATTTAAGATGTTTTTGTGTACTTAGGAGAAAGGCTAAGGAATGAGACATGACGAGTTGATTTGACGGTATCCAAATAACAAGTGAGAGTACCTTATTAGATGCTTCTCGCTAGTACACAATTCTGTATGTTCACTTTACACATTAACTGGATGTGTGTATCACATTACATAACACATATGGCAATGGTGGGAAAGTTTACCTCAAAGGAATGTTGTGCATCAAGAATGTTGCGCGTACAAGCATGTATCACATTTGGGGTCAAAGGAAGTGCGATGGAAAGAACCAAGATTGGAATGTAAACAATACACAAACACAATAGGTGTTTCTGGTTGAAACTCACATGTGCTACTCTGATTCCAATGATGAAGCTCAGCTTGCCATTAGGAGATACTTGGTGAAGCCTTGCCAAGATACGACCAACATCATTTGTCATGGTTACTAGGCATTTTACGCTGTATTTAAAAAAAAATGTTAAAACATTTAATATTATACACATTCCTTTTATTTCCTGAAATGATAGCTCTCAATCATGATTCAATCAATATTTTACCATGAATTATTTTAGCCTGAATTTGAGGGTACACTGTATATTGAAAAAGTGTATCAAATGATCATGTTACACACAACGTCAAGAAGATGTACATTCCTATAATAATACAGCTCTTCCATGAGATGATTAAACTCTTTTAAAAATGCAATATTCCAAACTGGTTTTAATGAATGACAAACTGATTTTTAAAGAAAAATTCCCTTGTCAATCTCAAGGCAGACTGAACCAAATTTGTTTCACTTCAATAGTATACTTAACCCCAACCCTCACTATGAACATGACTGACAAAGAAAGCGGACAAAATATACAGTTCCTCAGGTAGACAAAGGAACATCCCTTCACTGCTATTATGTAAAAATGTGTATAACACAAACAGGTGTCACATGCATATTCACTTTTTACATAATAGCAGTGAAGGGATGTTCCTTTGTCTACCTGAGGAACTGTATATTTTGTCTGCTTTCTTTGTCCGTCATGTTCATAGTGCCTATACCTAAAACTCTATTGCAACCCTAACCCTATACCTATGATGGAAGACAATCTATAGCAACTGTTGGGGTGCATGTGTCACATCACTTAAATGTACCAGTGAAAAAAATATGCAGGGACTCGGGGCGATTTACCCCTCGAAATGTCCAAAAGAGCCCCCGAAAATCAGAAAGAGCCCCAAAAATTTGCATAGAGTTCAATGCAAAACAAATTTTAGAATATTATTTTCATGCAGGCAGGCTTGAAAAGTAGCCCCCGAAAAATAAATATTAATTTTTTCCCTGAAATGTACTACATCATCTACATGTATGTTGATACTCACTCTGAGAGGGTGATGAGTCCGACAGTGTTTTCAGGATTAGAGCGTGTCTTGGAGAGACACACAAGGTTGACTGCATCCTGCTGTGCCTGGATACGTGTTGGAAGGAAATCTCCATTCCGCATGTACTCACTGGTGTCCACACTGCATTTAAAAGAAGACAATGGATTAAAACAAATATGCAAAAACGTGCCATTCTACATCAGAAATAACTCTCATATTAACTCTTCATTCATTCAACACTAATACATGTAAGTGTATATGTTTTTGTTTAAAAATATATTTTGGATTAGACCGAAAGCTTCAGTCTCTGATATCAACAGCTGTTCCGCTGAGATTGCATAGATCTGGCTCCTCTGACCGCCTCTATACATAGACTGAAGTATGTCCTATGGGGTACTGTGTGGAAGGAATGGTTTGGTTCGGCCAGACCGCGATGAATGAGATATGCAACAAGTTTTTTTCACTCTTTACGTCTTGATATATCCACTTTGGCTGCAATATTACACTGAATCTTATTAAAAATTAAAAATAACAAATCTACTTCGACTTGCGATAGCTTGCCATTTGCTCAGAGCTCATTTGGATCCTCTCCACGCTGTGTATACACTACATTTAATCAATAGTATAGTATTGCTGCTATGAGTAATCCAGGCTAAGTTGTAGGTATGCTCTTACTGAAATCTAGATCTATGTTTTTAAGTTGAAAACAATGGAGAATCATGCAATTTTACTTTTTGTCTTTTGAGTTTTGACATACATACTGTATCTGTCGTTATTTCAACCATAATTCAACATCAGAATGTATGCAAACAGTAGGGTGTCTGGTCGCGCACCCGATGTTGTGTGCTAAAATCCTTCCCATAGAGATTGCGCGCATCCCTATGCAGTCTACGTGCATTGTGCGATCATGTAAAATTGGTCAATGATTTTATGAACAAATTGAAATTCAAACCTTTATTACTCGTGATCATGAAGGTGAAACTCAATAAATGAGGTGTCATATGAAAGGTTTTTCTCCATATTTCCCAAAGGGGCGCACCCCCGAAATTTCTTAAAATATCTTGATTGAAATGTTGTTTGCATCCTAGCTCCAAAATTTGCCACTTTCTTGAACCGCGCCCCACGGGCTTATGTCCAGCTAGACGTAAGGAAAATATCTATGCACTTATTTTTCGCTAGCCCCAAGAAATCGCTCGCTCCAACAGTTTAAAAATATCCTTCCCCCTATTTGTTGGATCAGCTAATTAGGGAGGCGTGCGCTCCGCTCAGTCCAAACAATGGTTACATCGCGTAACAACTGTGCACATAAATATGCATTAGGATCGTGTACGAATGAAACCCGTAAGTCAATACACATTATAGTGAATGAAGGTATGGCTAGCAGATTGCACTCTCAAACCCGGAAGTAAATACACGTTATAGTCAATGGCGATATCGCAGAGACAACGTGCTCAAGTTGCGCTTTCAGCTTAGCACTATACGTACGCTATGCATATGCATGCATATTGCGCGATGGAGCTGTTTGGCTAAATTTAGCAAAACAAGTTAGAGTAAAGGAGGGGGTTTTCGGTCGGTGGCAGTTTGCAGCCGGTCCGTTGGATGCATGGTAAAATCCCTTTAAAATACATTGCATAACAGCATATCACATATCACACACATACAACATGGCAGAGTCACTGAAGAACCACATTTGCTACAGATCAGCTGGGGAACGCACAGCGCTTGCTTGCTTTCTATTGACTTTGTACATGCGGCCGAAAATTGCCTCGCTAGGCCGAAAACCACCTCCGAAACATCGAAATGGAAATGAATATTGTCATGGCAATTCATGATTTTTTTTCTGGGATTCTTTTTTCGTTTAAATAATAATAGTATTTGCTTCATGATTTGAACAAGAAATGATAAAAATAGGATGTAATGAGTAAAAAAAATAGGATTTTGTCTTAAGTGGCCGAAAACCCCCTCCTTTACTCTAACTCTGCGTTTACGTCTTTTTCGTCGAGTCTGACCAAAATGATATGAATATTGCAGAGTTTTGGAGGGGCTGTATCTTTTGATAGAAACATCGGTGACTCTTGAAACTTTAAATGTATTATTCTGATTAGATCTACATTTTTTAACAAAAAACGATCCCAAATTGAATATTGAAAAATCGTCCAGACACCCTAATAGGGTGTCTGATCGCACACTCATTTTTGTGTGCTAAAATCCTTCCCATTGAGATTGCACACATCCCTATGCAGTCCATGTGCGATGCGCGCTCATGCTAAATTGGTCAATGTTTTTGTTACCAATATTAGATTCAAACCAATATTGCTCGTGATCTTGAAGGTGATACTCAATGAGTGAGGTGTCGTATGAAAGAGCCGTTTTTTGTCCATATTCCCCATAGGGAACCACCCCCAAAATAATAAAAATATCTTGCTCAAAACAGCGATTTAAACATTGTTTCCATGGTAACTTAGAGATTTACCAATTTCACGAAGTGAGCCCCCAAAGTGAGGGATAAGTTGGGCCAGCTGTAAGGAATATATCCATGCGCTTATTTTGTCTGTAGTCCCAAGGGATCACGAGCAGTTTCAGTTTGAAAATACTGTTACTCCGCGCTTTGCATATCGTGCTGTGCATTAGCTGAGCTGTGCGGCTTTTGAGCAAAAATTTTAACTCAGCGTGAACCACTTTTTTTTCCATTCTGACCAAAATGCTATGAATATTGCAGAGTTTCTGAGGGGCTGTATCTTTTGATAAAAAACATTGGTGAGTCTTAAAATTTGAAATGTATTAGTCTATTCTGATTACATTTTTTATTCCCATATCCAACAAAAATATTGAAAAGCGATCCCAAAATTGAAAAATCGTTCAGACATGACCTGTCCTAGACCGAATTTTCCGTCTCTTTCGTTCGTTAGCCTCTTATTGGGGTAGGGTCGGCTGGCTCTCTCTTTAGAGACGGAAGCCGTTTATACACATGTCCTTGCTAACGCCACGGCCAGTTCTGGTCGTAGCGTTTTGCCCCCAAAATCCCCCAAAATGTCATTTTACCTCATGCATTGATTATTTAAAATTAGGAGAAGGTTATACTAACATCGGTTCCACTTACCAACTTGACTGTATAATCCGTTTAATGGTCCCTTTTAAGGAAATTACGGGTCTAAATTGACAGCCGTGTTGAAAATCTTGCAAGGCGTGTTAAACTCTCGCTGCCGGAGTCATCTAAATCAATCTCATCCCTTCTAGTCTACGCCGAAGGCAAAATGATTATGAAGGAAAAACTGTGATAACGCCATTACGAACGTGTAGATGGCGCACAGTTTTTCCTTCATAATCATTTTGCCTTCGGCGTAGACTAGAAGGGATGAGATTGATTTAGATGACTCCGGCAGCGAGAGTTTAACACGCCTTGCAAGATTTTCAACACGGCTGTCAATTTAGACCCGTAATTTCCTTAAAAGGGACCATTAAACGGATTATACAGTCAAGTTGGTAAGTGGAACCGATGTTAGTATAACCTTCTCCTAATTTTAAATAATCAATGCATGAGGTAAAATGACATTTTGGGGGATTTTGGGGGCAAAACGCTACGACCAGAACTGGCCGTGGCGTTAGCAAGGACATGTGTATAAACGGCTTCCGTCTCTAAAGAGAGAGCCAGCCGACCCTACCCCAATAAGAGGCTAACGAACGAAAGAGACGGAAAATTCGGTCTAGACCTGTCCCAAACCCTACAAACAGTGTAGATCTAGAATCTCAGACGTTTGTCTTAAACATATTAATAAGATGACTTTTAGTTTTAGCCCTTGACAACTTTGACTTCGATTTTAAAAAAGTATGTAGATTCTAGATCTAGTCTAGCTCACACAGATCACATCACAGCTCTTCTTCAATCAAACATTACATTACATGTACATGTACATCACATTACATGAACAAGAATTGGTGGGACCGAAGTCAAGAAGAGAAAAGTGCACAATCATTTTGAATGTAGATTCGATACCATAATTTTGGTTACAATAATTAAAATGGTGATTCACATAAATAAATATGGCCATCAAACAAATTAAAAGACCACACATTGTATAAATAATTAATGCGTACTCCCATAAATAACTATTTCTTACCAAACAATTGTACTTTCGAGCACCATTTTTGCTTCTTCAAGTGTTCAATACCCTAACAGAGAGGGCGCTTTGAAAATGCACTTAGAAAATGCAGATGATCTCGCGCTGATCAAAGAGAAATGGATCAATCCATCAGTGCCCAACTAAACGCAAATCTTAAGAAAACATTAAAGCATCCAAGCGGTACCAGCCATCATAATATCATAAATCCTGGAGAAAAAAAAGGTAAAAACACGTAAAATTTACCTATATTTGTCGGACCCCTCCCCTGTTCCTCTGGGGGGGGGGGGGGGGGGGATTTTCATTTTCATTTTTTTGGGGGGGGGGGAGGGGGGTGGCAAAAAAAAAGTAGTGCTCACTACTATTGGTCGGATGATGATGTTCACATTGTGAGATTCATATCCTCGCCCATGACATGCTTTAGCAAAAATATGAATGCCACTTTCGAATATAACACAATATTCTAGCTTCATTCCAATATTATAAACTCATTATTACAAGAAATACGTTAGGTTCATCAAAAGACTAATATCGAATGGAGTCGTTGTAATAGTCGGCCACAGTAATTGTACATGGACTGTATTATAGGAACGGATATATTGACGGACTGTCAACCTCTCTCTCTCTCTCTCTCTCTCTCTTGCTCGTTCTTCCTCTCTCAATCTTCTTTCTTTCTTTCTCGATCATCTTCAGTTCAGTTTCAGTTTAGTTTCTTTTATTTCACATGAAAAAAATAACAACAATAGCCTATAGCATATTTACAAAATTGCTATTCGTGAACAATAAAGACATCTACATAGCATAAGTTTGTATTGCATTTACACTAAATAATTTCGAAATTACATGTGAAAAAAGGAACTTAATAAAAAGCACAAGCTTGTAGAAGTATAATAATTCAACAAAAAGCAAAGTACACAGACAAAAACAATGAAATGATTAAATGGATGATGGATGCAGGCACGGATCCAGGATTTCTTGGGGGGGGGGGGGGCCCAAATTTGAAATTATGCGAGCCAAATACTGGCACGTAATGGTGACCAGCATTGGCGTAATGAGCAAAAACGTTGGGAGGGGGGCAGACACAAAATACACATCACCCCCATTCTTACATGCAGGCCCCGCTGAACGTTTTTCGAGGTGGGTGGGAGAGGCTAATTAAAAGTATTTATGATCAGGTAGAGCGTAGCATAAATTGGCGTGGGGTCTAGGGGCAAAGGACCGGCGGGGTCAAGGGGCGGAGCTCCCGGAAGCTCAGGTGGTATGGGCATTTAATTACGGTCAGATGAACATACTTTGATACCTCATGACACTGGCAACCCAATAATTGGCGTGGGGTCGGGGATTTGAGGCATTTTATAACGGTCAGATAAGCATTCAAGGGGCACCTTAGGCCCCCTGGTGTGGTCGAGAGGGTGGGGCCCCCGGAAGCTCAGGGGTTTTCACGGGCGGGTCTAGCTTTTTGCTAAGGTGGGGGGGGGGGAGGGGGTTGACCCAATGGCGATGCAGAGCATTGCAATGAGCCGCAAAGCGGCAATTTTTTGTTGTTGACCCAATGACGAGCCGCATAGCGGCGAGGCAATTATTTGGGGGGTGCTATTTTCGATCCCCGTAAGTCTTGTCTGCATCTACTAACACAATGGAGACCATGAAAAGCAGTGCATGATAACGTTTTTTTTAAATCAAGTAACAGTTTAATACACAGTTATATCTAGAGTTATCATGTGTTTGGTTAAGTTACCAGATGAGTTGAATATCTTCTCACAATATGGCATTTTTCTATGCACAGCACATTTTCACTTGGCAGCACAAGGGGGGGGGGGGTTAAACCCCCTAATACCCCTCCCCCCTGTAGATCCGCCCCTGGTTTTAGGCATCAGATAAGCATATTTTGATACCTTATTTGTGACACTGGTTCAGAAGCTCAGGGGTTTTAGCCATTTAATTACGGTCAGATGAGCATATTTTGATACCTCATTATTTTGTGACACATGGCAGGTCACTATTCTTTCTTTCTTTCTATTCTCTTTAACAAAAGTGGGAGGCAAGGCCCTTTTGGGCCTCCGATCTCCTTATTTCCCCCCTTTTATTTTCTTCTTCCTCTTCTTTCTTTCCCTTTCTCTTCTTTTCCTTCTCTCTCTCGCTCTTTTTTTGTTGATGCCGCTCAGCCCCCTGTATCCGTGCCTGGTGGTGCGTTCAACGCACCCTTTCGAGAAACGCCCCCCCCCCCCCTCCTAGAGTACCGCCTTAATGCACCATTTCGGGATGAGCAGGGGGGGGGGGTGGCTTTTCATGAAAGGGTTTGTTAAACTAGTCTTCTCCGTCAGTCGTTTATAATATATTTTAAAGGTAATACAAAGTTTTGGGAAATTTTTTAAAAAATTTGGTGGATAGTGATTCTTTACAATTATGATATATTTGCATGCCCCTGTGGATTTATTATAAGCACTAACAAATTCAGCCCCTAAAACACTTCCGCTTTCGAGAAAAATTGAAAATAAAATTTTACCGGTGCTCCCGGTAAATTTTGATAAATTTCAAATAGCGCCTACGGCCGTACAATGGTAGCTGCGACCATGAAAATCACAGAATATGTGTGTGTGATATATAATTTCCAAACGGGAATAGCTAATTGGTCGATTATAGTCAAGAAACATTGTTTTATAGCTTAATTAATATCTTGACCTCGAGAGGGAGCTATACAACAAAAAGAGTTTATTATTTACAATTTCATAACTTTAGACTCGATTTCAACCGCGACAACGATCACTGGATATTGTATGATCGCATAAGCTTCCAATATGTTCATTTGAACCAAATTCATGACCCCATACCGAAACTTTGTATTACCTTTAAGGAATAGAAATTTAGATAAGTAATAATCAAAATTGAAACAATTCACAGCTAGATCAGGCGCCACGCACCCATTCGACATAAGCCCAGTTCTTGGTGGTAATAGTAGTAGAAGTAGCAGCAGCAGTAGTGGTAGAAGCAGTAATAGTAGTAGTAGTATAGTAGTAGTAGTAGCAGTAGTAGCAGCAGCAGTAGTAGCAGCAGCAGTAGGAGGAGGAGCGGGAGTGGTAGCAGTTATAGTATCAATAGGAGGAGGAACTGGAGGGTAGCAGTAATAGAAGTAGTAGTAGTAGCAGTAGGAGGATGTGGAATTAAGAGGAGGGGTAGCAGTAGTGGTAGTAGGATGAGTGGTAGCAGAAGTGGTAATAGTGTTAATTAATATATCTCTTTTTTCATTTGCTCTAGCTCTCTCTCCCTCTCTCCTTCTCACAATCATTCAATTATTGCACTCTGTTTCCTCTCCTCTCAATTTGCTCCCCTCTCGCTTTTATGCTCTCTGCTCTATTTCCGCTCCCTTCCCAACTCTATAATAATTGCACCTTTGCAACGTTAATGCAAAAAAAGGGATTTGCTCGTATCTCAGCAAATATTTCTTTTGCTCTTGATATAAAAACAAAATAATAAGATGTGAGACCATTTAAAAACATCTTTTATTTTGTTTTAATATTTAATCAATCAACAGAATCATAAGGCCTAAAATAATATGAGCTCTTTTGTTTCCAATTCAATTGTTCATTACACGCAATTGATAGGCATAAAATATGAGCTCATTTGTTAACATTTAATTTCAATTAAATCATTACACACAATCTATAGGCATAAAACACGAACTCATTTGATAACATTTATTTTGTATCCAACTAAATCACTCTCAACTTCTAGGAAACTTTTGAAATATCAACAATTATGCTAACTGATAGTACATAGAATAGATAGTGGTATCAATTGTTGCACACAATAATAATGCCGGGTTTACGTTACACAAAAGGTTTATTAAACATGGAAGTCTGAAATCAGGAGCAAAATCATGTAAACTAACATTTGTGAAAATGACCTGCAATATAACAGATTCATATGCTTTAAGCCTCTGTTTACACATCTTTCAAAAAAATGTGTTTGTTTTAAGGATTGTATGACAACTGGCATCGAGCATGATAATTTAAGTGAAAGTCATACATATTTCATTGTGATTTTAATTTGACAGAAAATAATTGAAATAAGAGTTTAAGGAACATTATTAAACATGACACTAATTTAACAATCCATAGATAAAAGTAAATGGCAGCCTTTGTCATATCAATGTAGGTTCCACTCATTCCACATTATGTCACGCCAAGGAGTTATAACACTCCTTGGTTAATATACAGTAGGTATTCATCTCAAGAACAGTAAATAAATAGTATCATATTGTAAGGTTTGGGTTCAATTCAATTCAAGACTTTATTCCAGCCTCAGCTGCAAGGGCAGAGGTCCATGCATATAACATATTTACATGTAGATATAACAATTCACAATCATAACGTGACTCTTTTTCACATTATATCCAACATCATTGTCTTAAACATTTAGCAAGCTCTGTGAACCTGCAATAATTGATGGACTAAAACTAACAAGATCATCAACATACAATAAACTATTTACTTTGGTACTACCAGCAAAACAGCCAGTACCATAGTTATTCAATTTTACAGATAAATCATCCATATAAAGTGTGTATTATCTCAATAACAGTACATAACTAGTATCATATTGTAAGGTTTGGGTTATACAGTGTGTATTCATCTCAAGAATAGCACATAAATAACACTACATAAAGAGTGTCATATAGTAAGGTTTTGGTCATATACAGTATGTATTTGTCTAAATAACACCACATAAATAGTATAATATTGTAAGGTTCCTTTCATACATCTCGTAGGCAAAATATTACTAAAATTATCCTATTGTAATGTTTGGAGTATGAATATAATATCATTGGAGGGGGAACAAAACGATATATAATTGTAAAAAATACATGTAGAGCTAAGAAGAGAAAACATATACAACACATGGGCAATGTATCATACGGAACATATTTATTATCAGGGTTGATTAACACATACTTTCTAAACTCATGTGAAAAGCATTCAGTACACAGATAATCATTTGAGTTATATATCGAAAGTAACTTTCATACATCTTTCATACTGTGTTACTCAAAATATAACATTGTATGGATTGAGTTACAAATATAAAAGTTTTATACATATCATGAACAATGTGTTACACAGAAATA